CTTGTACTTGCCAGGCAGGCACTGTGCTACTGAGCTCTATCCTCAGCAATTTTATTTTTTTTAAATTAGTTGTCTTTTTTTTTTGGCCAGCTCAGCCCACCCTGAGGGCAGGGCTGGCATGGCATGTGGTGTAGGGGACTGAACCACAGTCCCCTGTGCCTGCCTAAGCTTGCCTAAGCAGGCGCTTTAGACTGCTTGGCTATCTTGCCTGCCCTAAAATTAAGTTTTATTGGTTCATTTTAGACATACACAATGATCACATTCATAGAGAATTTATACATGTGCATGATAAACTTGGGGGTTTCCCCCAACCCTCCCTCCAACCTTGCCTGCCTTCCCCATTTACAAAGCTTGCAAATAATTTTATAAGAGAGAAATTTTTGAGTTTGTGTACTTGAAAGTAGTACCCAGAGAAAAAGGCCTGACTCATAAAACTCACGCCCTCTTTTGGTGCGTCACATCTTCCTTTAAGCATTAGTCATGTCACTGAGTCAAAACGGAGTCCACAGTGTAGCCACCATCATGGTCCACATTTTTTTTCTTTTTTTTTTCTTTTTCTGGAACCGGGGATTGAATTCCACATTTTTTTCCTAATACCAGGAAATCTAGATTCCAATCTCCATTTATAAGCAATTCAGTTTCTTCTGTTCTGAATGAGTACTTCAAGTGAGATTTATTGGTCACCATATGAAAACTTATACCAAATGTCTGCATTATTTTTCTACTGATTTATTGAGAAGGTAGTCAGAATAAAGAGAAAAATTTCCTGTTTTCATTTGTAATTGACAAGTGTTCTTTAGTCTGTGTGCTATCTAGAACCCCTGCATGCATTCATTTAACAAATATTTAGCTAGCATCTATATGTACCAAGCACTGTGCCTAGTGTTGGAGGTGGAGCAGTATACAGTTGCCATCGTACCAGCCATGGTAGTGCACGCCTGTAGTCCCAGCACTTGGGAAGCTGAGATAAGTGGATTGCCACAAGTTTGAGGGCAGCCTGAGCTACTTAATGAGCTCAAGGCCAGCCTGATCTACATAGGAGAGACCTTGTCTGAAAAAATTTTTAAAAACCCTAAAAAACAAAAAAACCCAAAACAGTTCCTGTCTCAAGTCCAGTTTTGTTTTTTTTTGTTTTTTTTAAGAATCTCAGCCACTTTTTAAAATTTATTATTATTTTTTTCTTTTTGAGACAGGTTTTGCTATGCAGTTCACGTTGTCCTTGAACTTGTTTTGTAACCCAGGTTGGCCTTGAATTAACAATCCTCCTGCCTCAGCCTCCCAACTGTTGAGATTACAGGCATGTGCCACCATACACATCAGCTTTTGTTTATTTTTATTTTGTCAATATAAATGTAGGCCATTTCCAGAGAAAAGGTGGAGATATGAAAGTCAATAGGACTATGAAATTGTGAGACGTAAAAAAGATACTCATCCTTTTTCTTATCTTTCCACACAGATAATCAGGGTCGAACAAGGGCCTAGAGATGGAATCAGGTCCCACTTAGTAAGCTCTAAACTTGGGAAGTTACTGAACTTCTCCAAACCTCAGTCTCAAACTTGTACAGTAGAATTAACAATATTTACTTTTCATTTATCAGATGGTTTGTGAGAATTTGAGAGAGATTAGCTGTCAACAGCAACTTTTGTTATTAATGTGGGTAGATTCTTCAATAGCAGAAGTCCTGGCAATCAGAGAAGCATCAGTCTTACTCTTCCCAAATGAGGGAAGATTTATTTATTTATAGTTTTCTCTATTTCCTGATTATACCCAGGATTCTGCCCCTGAGGTACGTGGAGCTACAAATCCATGACCGACTCCAACGCATCCTGCGGGTCAGGACAGTGACTGAAAAGATCTACTACTTGCAGCTCCATGAAAAACACCCAGAGGCTGTCTTTCAATTCTGGATCCGCTTGGTGAGAATTCTACGGAAAGGTCTATCCATCACCACCAAAGACCCAAGAATCCGCTTCACCCACTGCCTGGTGCCCAAGCTGCCCAGACTCTCCACCGAAACAACAGTGAGTGGGGCCTTCTCCGAAGCCCACGGCAAATTCAGCATTGACGTCTGTCTGTCTGTCTGTCTGTCTGTCTGTCTGTCTGTCTGTCTGTCTGTGTCTGTGTACATGCATGTGTATGCACTCACAAGTGTGCAGCCTGTATCCGCAGGTTCCACATCCATAGGCTCAACCAACTTCATATCAAAAATATTCAGAAAAAATTTGCATTTGTACTGAACGTGTCAGACTTTTTTTCTTATCTGTATTTCCTGAACAATGTAATCTAATCACTCATTTCATAGCACTTCCATTGTAGTAGGTATTGTAAGTAATGTAGGGTAGATGTAAAGTAGGAGGGTATGAATAGATTATGGGCAAATGCCACATCACTTTATGCAAGGGACCTGGGCATCATGGAGTTTGGTCCTGGAGAGGAGTCCTGGTATCAGTCCTCATGTACTAAGGGACAATTGTGTGTATTACTGACTGCTAGATTTTTACTGTAGATCATAGGCACTTTTCCTTATCATAAGTACTAGACCCTTCTCACAGTTGAGTAGTGCTTAAGTTTTTTAATTGTTTCTAATATGCTAGGTAAAAATATAGCATCTTTTTTTTTTTTTTTTTGGTGGTGCCAGGGATCAAACTCAGGACCTTGTACTTGCCAGGCAACACTTATTCCACTGAGCTGCCTCCCCGGCCCCCTCATCTTTCATTTTTAATGAGTTCGTGTATTGTCCCATGTGTACTTATAGATTACATTTCTTTTTTATTTGTTACCTGTTGACTTCCTTTGCCTTTTTTTTTTTTCTTGCACTGCTGGGGATTGGATTCAGGGGCTCAAGCATACTAGGCAAGTGATCTACTACTGAGCTACAGCTCCAGCACTTGCAGTGACTTGCTGACACCCATAAAAATGGGCCAAGATCTGCTTAGTATGCAGGTGCAGGAACGGGCATGGGGTGTGTGCCCTAATACCAGCACTCAGGAGACTGAGGCGGGAGGATCATCAAACGTTCACACTCAGGCTGAACTGCTTAGAGAGACCCCATCTTAACAAACAACAAAAGAGCTGGGTGTGGTACCCACTCCTGCCTGTGATCCCAGCACCTGGAGGCAGAGGCAGGAGGATCCTTGTGAGTTCGAGAACAGCCAGTCTGAACAGCATAGTGAGACCTTGTCTCAAAAAGACCAAAAACAAACAAACAAACACACACACAAAACCCCAAACAACAAAAGATAAGCATAAAAGGACAAAAAGAAAAGCCTGATAGACTGGATTGCCCCACACCTTCAGATTTCGGAAACTAAATGCTTTGTTCCTCTCATAAATTGTACACATCAGTTTTATTATTACTAACTATGAAAGTTAGCCAGAGCCAGGTGTGGCGGTGCACATCAGCAGTCCCAGAATTTGAGAGGCTGAAAGGGGTGGGGGATCTCTATGAGTTTGAGGCTATCCCATGCTACATAGTGAGTACAAGGCCAGCTAAACTATAGGGAAGAGACCCTGTCTCAAAAAAAAAAAAAAAAAAAAAAAGGAAAGGAAAGCAAGCAAGCAAGCCAGTCACTTTGCAACTCAGATCTTTTTTTTTTTTTTTTTTTGAGAAAGGATCTTGCTATGTGGTTCAGGCTTAATGTTTAAAGAATAATTTCCCAGGGTTGGGCTGCAAAACTCGAGTGTATCCCCAGAAATTCCTTCAGGGTTCTACCTGAAGAGGCCAGGATGTTCTGTGCCCAGCCTGGCCCTCTGACTTGTGTTTCTTTCTCCGCACAGCCTGGGAGCAGCCTCCCCGGGTCCTCCCAACCCAGCGAGACCCTTCTGCTGCTGGCAGCCGAGCAGACCAGCGGCAGTTTCTCAGAACTCTCTGGAAGGACTCAGCTCACAGCAGACAGGTGGGTCCTGTGTGGCCTCTTCCAGGCCCTCCCCAGAGCAGAGTCACAGGGTCAGTGCACCCTCTACCAACCCATCTCTCTTCCTGCTCTTTATTCTAGATAGTCACGTGGCAGTCCCTCAGTTTTGTTGCTGACCTATCCTTGAAGACAGGGCCTTTGGTATTCCAGTTTCTGGTCTGCATGTTAATTTCTTAGGCAAACCCCAGTATTATTATTTTTTAAAAATTTTTTTAAGAGTTCTCACACAGGAAATTTTACTTTATATGATTCTGATATAACATTAGTTTACAAATGAGACATTTCACTTTTAAACCTAATTATATAATCTTGAATGCACTATAAACAAAGTAAGATCTCCTTTATGTTTCACTTCACTTAGCTTACACAAGGCTTCCTTTAAAATTCCATCATACCTTGAAAATTTCCTGTAGCTTTTTATTTTTATTTTTTAAATTTTATTTACTTATTTATGTGTGTGTGTGTGTGTGGCCAGCTCAGCCCACCAGGGGGCGGGGCTGGCTGGCATGTGGTGCTGGGGATTGAACCTCGGTCCCTGTGCTTTGCTAAGCTTGTTCTAAGTAGGTGCTTTAGACCACTGAGCCATCTCAGCAGCCTACATGCTTGTTCATGGTTTACAAAGACTTGGTACAGAAAAGTCAAGTCCTAGAAGCATCTCCATGCATTGCAGTACTCGGCTGTGCTATACTCGGCTCAGGTGTCACCAGGAACAGGAATGTGGAATGCTGGCCCTTAAGTTTAACTGCACTTTCATGTTTCACTTTTCTTCCTGATAAATCTTTTGCACTAGATATAAAATAAAAGTGTTATTTAATTCCCAAACCCAGTATTTTTCGATGCTCAATAAAATGAGTGAGGGATGACTAAGTTTGTAAGTCAGGTGCAGGGAATGAGCTGTTGATTGTCTCTTCCCGAGCTCATCAGGGTCCCTTGGGCAAGAATCTACTTCTCTGCCTCACGTACTTCCAGAAAATGAGTGGAATGGACAGTAGCATGCATGAAGACCACCCTAACTCCCAAGTTTTATTAATTTACTAATTGTATTAGATTCTTTCTATAACAAGTGATAGAAATCCTAAAGCAAGTGAGAGCAACCAACATATTCAGTAAGTGCAACTTGGAGCATATCAAAATGCACATTTAAACCAGGCATAGTAGTGCATGCTGTAATCCCAGAAGTTCTTGAGAGACTGAGGCAGGAGAATCACAGTGAGTTTGAGGCCAGCCTGGGGTCCACAGTAAGTCGAAGGCCAGTCTGAATTATATAGTGAGATGCTGTCTTAAGGATAAATAAATAATTTTTAAAAAAGAATTAAAGCAGAAAAACAACAACAAACTACAGCTCAAGACAGAATCCTATACAGAAATCAAGAAAAAGACAGAAAAAAAGTAAAGAGGCCACAGGAGAAGTTAGACAGGTTGGGTCAGGGCTTGCGACTGGAGATGTGCTCTGCATAGATTTTGTGGAAGCACTTCTTAAATACTTGGGGCTTCTGCAGAACAGGGCAGCCTTTGTGTCCTAAGCTGTCGATGCTGGGCTCTGCTAGCGGGCTCTGGATGGACAGCAGGAAAGTCCTGACGTCACATGGGAGAACATCCGGGTATTTCTAGGCATTTTGTTGCAGAGAGGCCTTTAGATTATTTAGCCATGTTGTGATTCCTTTGCTAAATAACCCTAAAATTTTTTTCACTTAAAAAATTTAACTCTGAATATGGTATTATTTCATATTTTTGGTGTTTTCTTATAGTTTGCATTTTCTTTTAAAATAACAATGTATTTCTCCTTTCATTAGAACTTCTAAAATGCTTATAGCCACACCTATGTTTTCCTAGTCACTAAGTAGCTGTGACCTGTGGGGTGGGGGGGAGCGGTATATTAGGAATTGAATCCAGGACTTTCACACTGAGCTATATCCCTAGACTATTTTTATTTTTTATTTTGAGGCAGGATCTTACTAAGTTGCCTAGGCTAGGATCAAATCTATAATCCTCCTGCTTCAACCTCCTAGAATGCTGTGGATGTGCTTTGAGAGTTTGTCTTATTGCATTAGAGAACTGTTCCAAGATTTTCTTTGCACGGAGGCTAATCCAGTGGGTGTGGACTTTGCACTTGAGAGATGAGGCTCTGGGCTCTCTCCACCTCAGGCTGTGCTGTGGTGTGGGGCTATCTGTCTTCTACGGTAGGACAGGCCTTTGCTCTAGGCGCCTCTTCCTTGGCTTTCCATGCCTGGTTGCTCCTCGGTGTATCATACCATGTATGTAAACTGTCACTGCCTTCATTTCTTTATTTCCATCTGCGTTCAAGGCACCCATGCTATAAAAGAAACCATTAAAAAATGGAGTCTGGCACAGTAGTACATGTCTGTAAGTCCAGCGCTCTGGGAGGCTGAGACAGGAAATGGCAAGTTTGAACCTCACCTGGGTAACTTAGCAAGACCCTGGATCAAATAATAATGATAATGATAATTAAAGTTCTGGAGCTGTAGTTCAGAGCAAAGGCCCTTGGTTCAATCCCCAGTACCATGCAGAAAGAAAAAGGTTCTAATGTACAACTTTTTAAAAAGTATTTTATATTATTTATTTCATACTGTATTATTTTTTAATTTATTTTAAATTTTTCTAATGTACATTGTTTTTGTTTTTGTTTTTTTTCTTTTCTGGAACCGGGTATTGAACTCAGGCCCTTGCGCTTGCCAGGGAAGCGCTTATTCCACTGAGCCATCTCCCTGCCCCCTTCTAATGTACATCTTAACAGTGATTTTTTTTTTCTTTTTTTGCTTTCGCTGACCTTGAAATTTCTGGGCTCCCACAGAAGCACCAACACTGCCATCAAAATAGACAGTTCCAGCAACTACAAGAGGCTCTCGCCAGTGGTGTCGCCCATCAGTGTGAACATGCCCATGAGAGCCACCTTGAGCCACAGCCTCTGGGAACAAGATGACCCAAATGAGCACCTCTTGCAGGCACCTGTAGCCAGTTCCCTCGGGGAGAACTTTCTGGGACCCTAACACCTACTCAGAACTAATGCTCTACCTTGGCTCTGTGCCCTTGTCACATCTTCTTTAATGCTGTTCCCATGGTGGCCGACCCACCATAAGGAGCTATGAAGGTGTTCACAACAAGGTGCCTCTGTTACTTCCACCAATAAACCTCCAAGTAAGTCCCTGACTCTTGTGGGTTCTGGTTCTGGGAGCTCCGGGCTGGAACGGCTCACTGGGAATAGGGGCTCACTCAGGGAAGTCAGTGGGGAAGAATGACTGTCTGTGGAACTGAAACTCCAGAGCCACCAACCATGGCCACCGAAGCCGGCGCAGAGGATATGGCCTCCAGGAAAAATCCGACTTCCTTTTTCAAAGAGAAGGGAAAACAGAGGCAGAGCTTTGCTACAAGTCAGAAAGGAAAGAAATCCTGAAGAGGGTAGTGACCAACTGGGAGGGACCTTTGTGTCTATTCACTCATCTCAAGAAAGAATGGAGTCTTCACCTGCCCAGTCCCTGTGTTGGTGGAAAAGCCTTACAGACCCATCTTGGGTCAGCAAAATTTGGGTGGTTTATGAAGTCGTGGAGAGCAGCCACAGCTCACAGGAAGTCTCCTGATCTCACTACTCCCCCCACCCCCAGGACCTAATGAAACAAAAACCTTATGTTTTACATGTTAGGGATGAGACAGGAGCTTTGACCACATTTTAGGCCAGTAGAGACCGTGTCCTCACGAAACACCAGGGCAGTATTTGATGAGTGTTTATCAAGACTTGGCTTGATACCAGACACTGCTCTTGGTGCTGAGGACAAAGCGAACAAGACAGATAAACACCTTTCTTGTCTTAGGGAGGGCACAGAGAATTCCTAAGCTGTATTTTGGAGACAGGAAGTCCAGTAAGGCTGACACCATGTTTGAGCCCCTAAGTTTGCAAATAAAAGTGGGAGGGCCTGCTTCCTTGTGGCTCACATCCTGTGTTATGTAGGAAAAAATGACCCTTGTTCTGTGCATGCTCAGTTGAGCTGAGCAGTAAATCCTAGCTGGATTGTGTTAGAAAAGACTTCTGAGCTGAGAAGATATCTATATTTATGGGTTTCCTCCAGTCTCCATTGAAAATACAAAACAAGCCTAGTGTGGTTGTGCATGCCTATAGTCCCAGCACTTGGGAGGCTGAGGCATAAGAATCTCTGTGGGTTTGAGGCCAATCTGGGCTACATAATGAGTTCGAGTCCAAATTACATATCAAGATCCTATCTCAGCCTCCCCACCAAAACCCACGACATACATGATTATAAAAATTTATAATCCCTGCTGGCAAGATTGCTTCGGCAAGCATAGGGACCATGTTCGATCCCTGGCACCACATACCACACCAGCTCAGCCCCTAGGGCGGGCTGAGCCGGTCACACGTGCACACACACACACATACACACACACACACACACACACACACACACACATTTATGATCCCATCACTCTGGGAGTCTGGGATAGGAGAATCACAATTTAGAGCCCAGACTGGACAAGTAAATTTGGTGAGACCCTGTCAAAAGGCCAGGGCAGAGAAGCAGCTCAGTGTGAAGGCCCTGCGTTCGATCCCCAGTACCACAAACAAAATAAAAACTAAAT